GTACAGTGGCATTGTTTTACAGTTTTTTAAATCTCTAATGTCTATCTGAATAGAAGGGAGATGGATTCTTATGTCAGCTTCTGTGTTCAATCTGTTGAAATATGTTGTTGTGGTGAAAGTATAGGAATAAAATTCGGCCTCACATAGATAAGTAGTTGGAAAAGGAGAAATATTTTAATAGATTTTTCAGATACTTGTCGATCTTCTTTGATACTAGACCAAAACTTGACAAGCAGTAATATCTTAAAGATTAGCAGTAGTAAGAAATCTGAAACCATATCTATGAACGTTTTGATACTCGGTTACTTTAAAATTCAGTGGTCATCCTGCACTTTGATTAAAATGTTTTTACTCACATTTGATTTTGTACCATTGTATTTGATCATTTGGGAAATACTGGGTCACTGAATTATGCAAATACTGTAAATGTTGACACATTTTATTTTACCATATTAAAAAATAACACTTAAAAAATAACACTTGTTAACAACATTTGTTACTATCGGCACCAATGTCATCAGAAAGGTTTTATGTATTGGGAAGCTGCCAAGCTCAGTGGCAAATGCGAGCTTTCCAAAATTCTGATTTTAACTTGAAACCTAGATTTCTATCGTTGGCACGAAATACAACAAATACTGCCAGTTGTTGTCCTTGAAAAGACAGTCTCATTTCATTCATTATTAGACTGCCAAATATCTGAGTCCAAATAATTCTTTCAAGTAAAAATGGTGTTTATGAGGAAAAAATTGTATCTAGTTCAGCTTGCAACTCAGTCAGACAAGTCTTTTTCCTCAAGACAACCATCACACCTTCTCAGGCAGCAAAGGCCTGTATATGTACCTCCTACCTCCTAAAACAGAAAATAAATAAGAAATGTGCATGCAAGTGTCCAGGTTTAGTAAAATTAATCATTATACTGCTTCATCTTAAGTGAAACTGGTGTTTTTTTTTTAAAAACTGTATGTGGCGGTCTTTCATTTGTGCTAAGCCAAAGGCAGTTTCGCCCACCATTGTTCTTACTTCATCAGCAAAATATCAACAAAGTAAAAACAAATAAATAATGTGTCAGTATTCTTATGAAAATAGTTGCAGCCTTATGAACCTCCCCCCAAAAAAGAATCACAGGGTCCCCCCAAATTCTCAGATTACACTTTGAAAACTTTTCTGGTGGCCAAAGCAGGACCCTTTCATCATATTGTCACGTTCCCTTTACCTTGGCACCAACTGCCTGGACCAGGGGGCGTGGTGAAGGCAGCCTTGAGTGTGGGGTAGGGCTGCACACGCATATGTGAACGCGAATTTCTATCCAGTTGGCTTGAAGTCTTCCCAGTCTTTCTTTTCGTTTTAGATGTGACTTGAAACCTTTAATGTCACATTGATAGTTTGGCTCGACTGCCCTACAGGAAGTCCTGTAAACTCTGCAAATCGATTGGCTCTCACTATCATGGGCATTTTCATTTTAGGGCTCAGAGCATCGTTCCCCTGGCTCCCTTTCCATGTGTGAGAAAAGCCTCCTTTTACATTTCTCCCATGTTCGACTGTTTCTCAAGACAAATTGTGAGTCTCTAAGGACACTTGTCGTCTGCTGCGAAGTATCCAGTTCAAACACGGCATCCTGTCTCCTTTGTCAAGTTCTGCACTTTGTCTGACAGGGTTTGCTTTTTTGTTTTTTGTTTTTTATCCTTCTTCTTTACTTCTTTTCCTTCTGGAGCTGGAAACCAGGCAGTGAGAGGACAACAGATATTTAAAACGTCGTTTTTGGGCCGGCCGAGTGGCACAATGGTTAAGAGCTGGCTTGGGATGCCAGAAGGCCCCAGTTCCGATCCCACATATGAGGACCAGTGACACTGCCCTCCACAGCTAAGATGCTGAACAACAGCTCAACCTGGAGCTGGGCTGCCCTGAGTCGAGCGCAATGATGGTGCCAACTTGGGCCAGTGAAGGAACGTCCTCCACAACTAGACTGAAGAACAAAAAGGACAGCAACTTGTCTCTTACCCTTCCCCCAATTCCCCAGTGCTGTTCCCATCCCCCAATTTTAAAAAATCTTTTAAAAAAAAGGTCACTTTTGAATGAGGAATTGTCTGTGTGAACTTTTTGCACAGTAGTGTGTTTTGTGTGTTTTAGTGGGGGGCTTGGAGGTAAAGGATGGGGTGCACCTGCAGGCCAGACCTGTCAGAAAGTTCTTTACCATTCAATTTCCATGTTTTTACATGCGAAGCTTCTGAATCAATAATCAACGGTGGCAGAAGAAATGTTAGTCTTTCTCCAGAAAGGAAGGTCACTTTATCGGTAAAATTAAAAACAAAAAACAAAACAAAAAAAATACTCTGTCTCCCTTCTCTTTATTAGGAAATGATTTTCAATGTAGTTTATACAAGGTACCATGAAAGCTAATTTCCTTTTTCCTAAAGGAAGAGGTAAAGTAAATAAGATAAAGAAAAGAATAGCCAGTCATGTTGATTGGGCTCCAGGGAATGCTATCAGCCTCTTAATTGTCAAGCATTTTCAGTGTCATGTGTGGCTGGTTATTTAAACTCGTAGAGCTGCTGTGTGCTCCACATGCAGTGAGTCTGACTGTGCTTTCCAGGTCAGTGCTGTTAGCAGAAGTTGGTTTGTTCTGTTGGATGCTAGGAAGTCCCGCTCACTCTTTCTTCACACACCCTTGCAGGCTTTGAGAGGTGAGCAAAGTTTTGCTACTTAAAGGACCAGCCCTCTAAGAAATTTCTGTGTGTAACAACTTAGCCTGATGCACGCTCCGTGGGAGAAAGCCATTGTTTGACACCTGTTTCTTTCATTTTCCTGTCCTTTTGTGCTCATATCAGTTTCTCATGACATAAAACAAATGCACAGAAACCAAACAGTCGGTGCAGAACAATTGTGGCCTTTCGGAGTTCAGCATGCTCAGAAATCACTGAAATAACCCTGAGTTATTACAAAGAAAGAGAGAGAGAGAGAGAG